CGCGCGTTTCACACGCGTTTCCACGCGCCCTCCGAGCGGAGCGTCCGTTTCGAGGTCCAGTTCCGATTGCAAGGCCTCTTGAAAGCACTGCCACCTCTTTTGCCGCACAGCCTCACTGCCTTGGCGAAGGCCAGGTGAGAACGCATGTCGTGGGGCATGGTCTTCTGCGGGTCGTCTGCTTGGTTCGTCTCTTGGATGCCTTTTTCCTTGGTAATCAGTTGATAAAGGTGCTGCTTCGGCACAGCACTCGTGCATCACAAAAAATCGGAAAGCAACTCCTTGGCAGAGATTCATTCCCCCAAATCCCTGCCCTTCCCGCCTGCGCCCGAATGCCAGCACCCGTGGTGCTGCGAGCCCGAGCCCGCTGAGCCTTGCGCTTCGCGCGCCACGGCGGCGCGGAAGCGGCGCTGGACGGCCTGAAGCAGCTCCAAACGAGCCAAGACCCAGCCGAGGTCGCTGGACATCCGCGTCACGAGCCTGCCATGCTTGGAGACGTCCGCGACTGGAGGTGTCGAAACCACAGTGGAGTAGGACAGGAGTAGGACGGGGGAAATCCAATGAGTGGATTCGAAGGGATTGAGCATGAATCAGATTGGAGAATTCCACAAATGAATCCAAGTGCAAATTAAGGAGGAAGCCTGGGCATGAGGCAACAAGGAGGTCAGCCATGGAGGGGTGATGGATGGAGTGAGTAGATGCACAGTGAAGACCTTATTTTATGCAGGGAGCTGTCCACAGATCCCCTGAAAGCTACTATATGCCATATTATGCAATCGATGTCCCTAATAGGTTCGATGCCTCTTTTTGGGGGACATACATTGACACAAAGCCCTTGGTGTCAGCCATTTTGGTGTGGAAACTTCATGGAGTGAACACTCAAATCTGTCCAATCCACCAACGAACACTCACCGCAGCCGGTTTTGGCACCTGAAGGGGAAGCATGAGACACGCGCGTCATAGCGGATGTGTCCACAGCTTTTGTGGCTGCACACCCCATGGACACCCGTCCTGCCGAACTCGAAAACATGACCGCATTCGGGTAGAGTTCATGCATCCGGAGACCAAAGGGCGACGGTTGCATCGTAACCAGCATGGCAAAATGAACGCATTCGTCGTCTTCATTCACTGGTCCTCGACGGTTGTGCACGTGCCACTGGCCTCTGCAGCTGGGAAATGCAACGAGGTGAGGAGTCTTCAGGAGAACACCTTCTTCAAGTAGAGGGTCCCAATATGTCCCAATTGCCTTTTTCTTTGGACAAGGGATCTAAACATCACTCAGAACCAGCTGGCCAATCTGGTGACTCCTGCCCAAGGTGATGTGAACTGGATCAACATGCAGCATCATGCTTTTCAGGTTAGAGGGCGGTGGTGGCCATTGATTGATGCATGCCTTCTACAAACTCATCAGCTCAGGTAGGAGCTGATTACAGAAAGTGTCTGATAGCTGATCTTAAACTGCCACATGTTTCACTGAAGGCCGTGGATGCAGCCCTCACAGGGCTTGATCTTGCGCTTCGCTCCAAACCAACACCGTTGATCCAGCACAGCGGGCACCTGCCCTCTAAACCAATTATATACTGTATTGTAAGACGTGCATGATATGAAATCATATGAAATGATATTAGACACTCAGTTTGCATCTGTTGCATCTGTCCTTCTTTTCAACGAGAGAAGTCCATCAACTCGGCGCCGAGCTGCACTGGCATCTTCTCCGCCAGGTTGGGCACCGCAACCGCCGTCGGCGGCTGCGCCCGGGCGCGGTGGCGCAAGGCATAGCGCTCCAGCGCCAGACGTTGCTGTGGAGTGAGGCGCTCCTGGTGGGTCGGACGGGGGGTCGAATGGGGTATCGAATGAGGTGAAATGAAAGCTCTCAGGAAAGTGATGATGGAAGATGGTTTTGGGTTCCTGACATTCAAGCACTAAAAACCGACCCAAATGATAGATTCTGTCCCCATGGGAGGTTACGGTCCACAGGATACTTCGATCTGTTAGACAATTGGTTCTGAGACCCTTCTCAATTGTCTACGCCAGAGACGACCCATGGGACTGGAATATATGCGTACCAATTGACCCCGCTTCAACCACCCTAACTGATCAGTACATGTGCTAGTCCCATGGAGCATCTGGGCAAGGAATACTTGATGAGATGGCCTTCCCTGCATGCGCTCAGCTGTCAGCACACCAAAGACGCCCAGTGAGCACATTGCCCATCGTCTCACTGTCATCCACTTGGCACAACGTGAGTTGGCCTCAAGCGCCCTGACATTCTGCAAATTTGTTTGGCCCGCGGGCTCAACAAGTTCGCAAACATGCCCTCGTGGTGCTGCCCCACACCCGGCCAGCGGTGTGATCAGATATGATCAGATCTGGTGCCAGAGCTCTTGTTGGGCTGCCAGCTTATTCGCCTACAAACTGGCAGCCATGCTAGTAACTGCACCACATACAGTACAGCAACCCACTAAATTTCACACCTACACTGTTCCAAAAACAAGACCTGGTCACGGAGTCTCACAGCCAAGCTCTCATCATAAGACAAACATAAACGCACCTTCCAGCTTCGAATTTGTTGCTGTGCGCAAGAGATTCCACGCAGCACAGTCACTAATTTGTGTTATACATTAGCTGTTGATGGAACTGCCACGATGTCGGGGCACCTGGAAATCCAACGACGCAGCACCATGATTTCCCTCTTTTCCCGAAATACAACGCGCTAAGATATTTCGTTGGTGTCGTTCTTCCACTGCAGATCTGCAGGTCGACCTCCTACTCTTCCCAACCCGTCCGGTCCACCCCGCCCGTCCAGAAGCTGACGCCGCTCGTCGGCGCCAGCCTGGCGTCGGTCCGAGTGTGGCGGGGATTCTCAGGATCGAATGACAAGGAGAGGGCTTTTGAGGAGAGCAAAGGTTCGTTGCCAAGCTCTAGACTGAGACCTAGCTGACCTAGCTGACCTAGCTGCCAACTGTCAGTCCATCCAATGGGGGCGATTTGGCTATCACCTAATAGGGGAGAAAGGGCTTCTCATCTCGGCTGGCGGTCACAATTACCCCAACAACAGGAAGAAGCTGACCTTTGGGAATCTCCGCAGTCCAGCATCCAGAAAAGGACTCGGGCATCTTCCCCAGGCAAACCCTAGCGCCGAAGATAACCTTCCCGGAGGTGCCTTCTGCAGCAAGCGCCAAACTTGTGCTTCATAGCTGCGTTCTTTCATTGACCTGAGCTTCGTTACTGGGTCTATTGCCCCAACATCCCAGCCAAACTATGAGGAGAGCATCCTCAACTCACGGGCTCGAAGGCCCAAGCAAGACGAAACAAAATTGATATCATGGGCTACGTTCTTGCATGTTGTATGACCTCACTGCGGCCTGGTGTTCTTACGCCTCAACCCCCCAAAATGAACCATATGAGCATGCTATCTTCCCCCTGCCGTGCCACAAGGGAACGGCATGACCGGACCCACGGTGACTAAGGCATGGCACTCCTTGAATGACCCGGTGTCCTCTACAGGTCCAGGTGGTTGTCCATGAAAAGGTGGTTGGTCCAGGTGGAGTCGCACCAAAATCCCTAGGGATAGCTACGTCGTACCGAACCCTCAGCTTCGGTACAACTGGATCCCGACGTGACTGGGCACCGGGAACGTCTCAGTGTCGAACACATCACCTTCTCAAAGGGTATGTGGATCCCTAGGGTATGTTCTGTTCCACAGGCTACGTGGAGTCTATTTATGTTACACTCCAACTCACGTGGCCGTGGAAGTGCTAAACCAGTGCCCCAGAAGAATGGTGTCCTGTACAGACAAGCTGTGGTGCGAAGTGCTAGTGAATCATTTTTTCGAGGTGCAAACGAATCAAAAGGAAACGACAAGCAGCGTCCTTCCAGCTGCGGATCGGATGCAGGGAACTATGGAACAACAGGGTATCATGGTGAAGCAAGATCAGCAACGAATCCATGTTTCGATGCCTGAAACCACCCAACTCCCTGAAGCAAAACACCCAACCAGAGCCGAGTGGCTTTTTGACCATGTCTTCTCTTGGCACTCAATGATGATGGTGATGGTGGCAATGATGATGGTGATGATGGTGATGGTGATGATGGTGGAGGTCAAAGTGGTGGCGCACATCTGGGTTGCTCAGTGTGGTCATCTCCTTCATCTTGGAATCGCAGGCAGGGTCAAGGTACAATTTGGTCATGGCTGACCTTGGCCAGGCTGACATGTCTTCGAAGATCAGAGACCAGAGAAAGTGTAACATCACATGGCCAAAAACTTCCACTAGCACAGAATTTCCAGTTCCATCCTTGCTTTCCAGCTTGCTTGTTCACAAGGTGAGAGAAAGATCGACTAAGAACCGTTTGATCCTTGCATATCCTTCAAAGAAAAGGGGCCGAAACAAGAAGCCACCGGCGTGGCTCCTCGCTGTTCGATTCTGCCGGTGGTCCACCCGAAGGGATCCCTTGGGCCCTCACAGTGTTCTTCGAGGGCTCAGGGCCCAGAGAGGATGGCCGTGCCGTCCCACGCGTCGGACGTTCGTGGCTTGAAACGGCCGCGGCACGCGGGCGAGCTACGGCGTCCGAGCTACGGAGAAAGCCCTGGGGGGACCAGGGTCTGTTTGTGACCAAGACCATCCAAGATCAGGGGTTGCAAAGCAAGAGGTTGGAAGGCCGGAGTTCACCAAAAGTTTGGTTCCAGGCCAGGCTACATCAACCATCATGGAAGAGTCGGCAATTTGTTGGAGATGTTGTTCTCCAAAGTCTTCCCAACACGAGTTGTTCTGGGCATTTCGGTCATCAACCGGAAAAAAGAAAGTGTTCACTGAAACCCTCCTACTGATGTCAGTGTGAACTCTGGTTCTAATATGTTCTAATGACATGGCCCTTGTGATCAAACCATCTCAGTTTTCTTGGACAGCATGCCATCCAAGCCTCCAAGCCATTTTCCAATGAGGCAAAAGCAAGTGGTGGTCCATGCCGCCATGATTTCCATCAATTCTCTGGGCATCCCGGGCCTGGTACCCTTGAGACGCCTGCCGGGAATGGTCGATACATGGTCGACCCATGTACCACAAATAGGACCAACAAAGACTGCTTTAAGTCTGCTAGCAGTCAGCTAGTCTATTGGCTGCAAGTCCAAAAAGCTGCTTTCTAGACGGCCCTCCAAACACCATCCAACTCAGTTTGAGCAAGAGTGTTTGCAGGAACAGCCGACTCCCGACAGAGCAGCAGAAAGGAACGGAGGGCCGGCAGCGACCAGCAGACCGCAGGAACAGCAAACCCAAAAGCCACCTCTCCCGAAGAAACCATTTTGGAGCGTGAATTGAGTGGATCTCCCGTTAGACAGCCCATTATTCGTGACTTCTCTGGCATGGCTTTGCATCTCCGTGTTTGGGGGGTTTTGTGATCTTCATCCAAAGCCGACTCAGTCGTTCTTTCAACGAAAACATGAAGGAGTGAAACAGTGAACCTCTCAAAAGCCCCACCAACCAGAGGTCCGTCCTACCCCATCCGTCCGGCCTCACGCGTTTGCCGTCGGGCCTGGCGGTCGGGCCGTCGGGCCGTCGTGCTCTCGTCGTCCGGAGCGAGGCACCGCGACAACACCTGCTAAGCCGCTCCACGCAACTGATGCACGGTGTCCCAAAGGACACATGTCAGTATCTTGTGCACTGCCGCCTGAATTTTTCGGTCCAGTGCTGCACAGGTGGGGGAGGTCGGTGTGAGGTGTTCGGTCGCAGGGTGTTCACAGGTGAAAGATCGACTGGAAGGTCGACTTGAGCAGCCGACTGTTTGTTGGAGAAGCCTCTATCTCCGGCAAGCGACATGTAAGTAACAAAGAAACCCATAAACCCATACGGTGACATACGACAAAAAGTCTCTCCATCAGGGAGATGATTGAAATTCCAACCATTGTCTTGGCATTGAATCCCAAACAACCATTATTTCACTAAGAAGTCAAACAACCAGGTCGTTCCCCCCCGGTGCGTACCGTTCCCATTCCTGGTCGTACCGCTCGTGCATGGTCCGGTACGACCACCGGTGGTTGTACCGATCCAGGACGAGGCTGACGGATCCGCAGATCCATCGGTTTTCGTCCATCCGGTCCAGCGAAGGGTTCCGGTCCGTCGCGGAGTCCGAGGGGTTCCATCGAAGTGTCCGAAGGGTTCCGGTCCAGCGCTGGACCGTTCATGTAGGTTCGGGGTGCGCGGTTGATGTGTGGAGACCGGTTTACATAGTGTGGAGATAGCCAGGTGACCCCGAACGGAAGCAGCTGGTAGATCTTTTGATTGATAAAAACCCCATCTGCTCAATATATGGAGGGGTTTGTCTGAATCAACCGTCTACAGTCGAACGATGTGTCCGCTTCACATCGGCCTCCAATTCCCGCTGCCGCTGCGCGTGGAACTCTGCCAGCTGCTCCTGGGAGATGGAAGCGGCATGAAGCGGTGGAGGTTTCGCGCCGGAATGGGAAGTCGGACGCGTCGGCATGGCCGGAAGCGAAACAAGCTCAAAGAATACAAAGAAAAGCTAGAAATTCTCCCCCCAACACTGCCAAGACTAAACCCGAAGTCCAGCAAGTTTGTGAGTTGCAGTTGCTTTTATTCAACCGTCTTGACAAATCAGGGGATGCCATAGCTTTAGCAAGGAGCTTGTATTTTAGCAAGGAGCTTGTATCTTCAGGGTATTGTTTGCCTGGTCAGGTCCGGTTCGTGTTGTTCTTAAGAAGAGAAAAAACATCAAAACCCGGCTATTTGTGTCTCGATCTTTCCCCCAACGATCCCGCCCTGTCCTTCCACAACCCCACCAACCACGACAGCAGACGCCACACACCAGCATCTCCTGCGCTTGCCGTCGCCGTTCCTCCTTCTGTTGCTGTTCCCAGGCATCGTAGTCCTTCAAAAAAGAGCTCATTCAGTGGCGCGTTTGGGATCCACGTGCGATCCCAAAAAACTCTGAGATCGATCTCCAGTACCATTGGGCCAGCACCCCAATTATTGTGGATTGAGAGGACCAATGGCACAGACCCCAAGAGGTGGTTTATATGGATTCCCATCTAAAGGACATCTTGGGGTCTGTGCCATCTACTCTGAAACCAACTTCCAGTACATTTAGGACCCATCCTGGAGGTCTCCAGAGTCGAACTTTGTAAGACCAGATGGGCAGCCCTGGTTCCTCTTCAGTTTCTCATACCCGACACGTCTCACACGTCTTGAACAAGTTTAAAACACCACCGACCATTGGACCACCACAAAGCCAACCACCCCGGACCGCCCCGCACCGCCGCCCAGGAACGACCGGACCCGGAAGTCCGTCCCCGGGAGGAACGGTCCCGACCTCTTTCGGATCCGCCATGGAACGGGGATGGTCCCGATCGGCCCAGATGATGCAGAAAGTCACCGTGGGTTCCACGGCTTCCACGGGTCCGGTTTTTGCCGGGTCCGCAGGTGGTTCACTTCGTCACTTCATCACGGCAAGCTAGTGGAGATGATGATGGCGCAAATGAGTGCTCTGGGGGGAATATGTAGCACCCCCGTGAAAAAAAAGAGTGCTAAGAAAGCTTGTACCTCAGCCAGTACAAGCAACAGAAGATATTGAGTGCCATGTTGAACCATCACAGCCTATGAGGCCTATGAGCGAAATGGCTTCGTTTGGTCTCGAACACCAACCACCGTTGCGGTCAACCGGTCAACCGGTCGACGCAGGTCTCGAGACTTCTTCCCACAACGACGGAAGTGCGGAGAGTCAGGTCATGGAAGAGCGGTCTCCCCACGAAGAAGATCCGCCTGGTTTCTCTCTCTCTCTCTCTCTCTGTTTCTGCCAAAAGTTTCGAAACATCTCCACTTTTTTTTCGGCAGTCGTCCATGCAGACGTCAAACAAGTGATGCAATCCGTGCCAAATGGAGCCGTCCTGGTCGCCCTGGTCGCGACATCACTGCAAAAGGACAACAACGAATTTCTAGCTGCTGCGTGCAGCATCACATTGAAGAAGAAACCCCACCTAAAGGTCGGTCAGGACCTCGGTACCAAACCACATCCTGCCAGTCCTAGTCCCGAAGGTCGGACGCCGAAGAACAGCGGCGTCCGAGAAGGGCAACGTTGATGCCCCTTTCATCCCAGTCCCAACCGGGCCCACCAACCACACAAAATCCACTTTCACCCTGAAACGCTCGGTCTCCCCTTTTTCGAACGAAATCCGCGCGGTTTCCTCCACGGCGCGACGAAGCTTCCGCCGTCTTCAGGGTCGTCGACCCGTTAGGGACGGTGCACGGAGAGGACCGTGCACCGGACGAGCTCTCGTGAAACCCCGATGTTTTATCACTGATGTGTCCTATGTCAAAGCAATAACATGCAGACTTCTGGTGTTTCCGACGGTTTCTCCTATGTTTCCATCAAGTTTTGGAAGCTTGCTCATTCCATGATTTCAGGTGTTTGCTCTCTGAATCCAAAGCACTCTGCCTCTAGCCTATCCGTCTGCATACTGATCAATGAAAGCCAGATAAAGAGAAGTCCGAGCCTTATGAACGGCTTGTTTCATGCGCTCTCCACAATGTCCTAATCTGGGCCTTGAACAACAGAAAAGACCTCAAAGACATGAAAAAGGAACTTAAGGTGCCTTCTGACTCTTGACATCTCTTCTGAATCTTGCCTCTGTACCACAAATTGGGGGGGGTCCAAAACATTCGAGAAAACATGTTTTCCATCCGTGCTTCGAAGAGCTGCTTGTCATTCCCACCAACTCGTCCCTCCTCTCGGCGGGCCGAGTCCTCTCCTCTGCCGCAGAGCGGCACCGTTCCAGCCGATCGGTGGTCGTTGTGGGTTGATAGATGGAAGAAAGACCAAAAAAAAGGGAACAAAGAAAGAGACCAACAAACCATGATCTATATGTCTTCAAGAATCTTCATTTCCACTGATTTTTATCAGCAAACCTCGAGCAACCTGCCTTGAAATTCTCACCACCCAGTGATAAATGCACACATTGAATGCTATTTTTGGTGCCCAGCTTTCTCCAGTGTGTTGTTGATCGGAAGCCAAAAGCATCCCAACTTGGATCACCTGAAAGGGGAGATCGTCGCTGCATGAAAAACAAACGGACGCCTTGTGACCCCCGTTGCAACAAGTCCGATCCAAGGAAGGCGCCAAGGAAGAGCGCTGGTCATCCAGTAGTTCGTACCATGCCGCGATGCTGTGAGGGAAGCCTTATTTCACCCCATGGCCCATGGGAACTTCGCAGCGGCTTTGGACACTGGAAAATCTCGATCAATGAGTGAGAAAAATGTGCTTCCACTGGATATTACGCAGGGGCAGAAGTGTGAGAGCACACAGTCGGTTTAGCGTGGGGTGAAGCACGTGAAGCACTTCAAAGGACCTTCCTTTGTGATCTGTACTGATGGAAAACTGCCATCGGACTACTTCCCAAACATCCAACAACAAACAACAAACAACCACAACAACAACAACCAATGATTGCTTTGGGGGGGCCCCACTTGCCAGACCTGTCAGGGTCACTTGGTACACCCCCTGTCAGACCTTTCCTTCACCTTTCCGGCCGAACGCTGCGACGGGCGCTCGTGAAACGGGGCCTGGCTGGTGCAATTCGCGTTGGCCGGGCATCCGATCCGCGGTTGGTCTCAAGAAATGCTGAAATCAATCCTCAGAGATCGTCAGGCTGGTGCGATCTCTGAATATGGATATCGATATATGGATCCAAAGGATTGTATATTGGGGGCTCCAATTGCTGTGGGAAGAGGGATGGCGATCCTGATTGTGAAGAACCATGACCAGGTCTAAGTGAGAACTAAAAGCTTGTGGATGTGTTTCTGACGAGAAGATCTAGAACTTCTGTCCACTTTCATGCTTCGTCCCACATGGTCCGCATGACAGGTTGATGTTGCAATCCATACACCACGCTTACGGATCCAACTCCTCAGGTTTTGTGGAGGTTCCCCCTCTGAGGGTACTGAGTCAGCCATCGGACGGTACTGTTGTCATCCTACTATACAACTGCAACTATGACTACTGCTGCTTGCCTCCACAGTTACCTGCAACTGCTGCCACTACTGCTCACACGACCATTTCCGCTTCCACCACCTCGACGATGGCAAAGACTACTACCACGACGACAGCGACGATGACAACGACGACCAGCAATACGACGACCTGCAGTGGAGAATGTTCCTGTGTAAAATGGGTGCTAAAAAGTCATATAGTGATCCCCAAACAGACAGACACGGTTTCCCATACATCTTTAGTGGGGATCGTGAATAATACAAGATGCCCTTTGGCAGAGACTTCTACCCAGTCACATGAAGCACCGGAACTCGTGTGTGAGAAACTCACAATCGGGTGTCCATCATTGGGATCGTTGGGGAGGGCCCTATTTTGAGAAGCCCCGAGTGGTGCAGTGGAACTGCTCTATAGTCCACACGCACATCAATGACCCCGCCAAAACGGAACGGCTCCAGTTGGCCGTCAGCAAAGCACTCATAACGACTTCGGCAAGTGCCAGATTGGTCAGCACGAGATTGGGCCGTCAGCACGACTTCAGAGGTGGGCTACGTTCGCAATTGATCGAATAGCAAATACATCGTCTTGACCAAGTGGTGCTTCTTCTGTTAAAATAAAGTCAAAAAAGGTCTGGGATAAGTAGCAAGGCAAAGCGACACGTTGGTGTACACCGCAAAAACCGTTTGCGCACCAAGCCCCTGAGGTTCCAAAAAAGGATCTTGAGATACTGGGGCCCCAGAACAGTTCACTTCAATCTGATCACATCTTTCCTTTGAAACCATATCTCGGGTGATCAGACAGTTCGCCAATCCCTGGCGCTTTCCACATCCGGCGCTTGCCCAGGAGGAGACCAGGAGGAGACGACCAAGCAGAAAGACTCGGATAAGCTCAACCGCTCGCTGTGGACAGCTTAGGGTTGGCAGCTCTTCTTCTGCTGCGTGTCTTTCTGTTTCGATTTGTTGATTTTGAGTAGCCCCCACTTGTACGAAATTGCCATCATTTTCCTCTGTACTGCAATTATACTTTATGGGATGTTCATGCAAGAAATCCCGCAACCGCCTGGAACCATGACCATTGGAACCCCCCACGATCCACGTGTTCGAACACGAGGATGTTCTCGGCAACCACGGGCCCAAAAGGCAAGGACTGAAACGGAACGGTGAACTTCCTCTCGTGTCACATCAATCTTCTCCACGAGAGCAGCTGCCGTGGAACGCTGCCTTCTATTTGCCTTCTATTTCATACCGTGCGTCACTGACAACTGCGCAGGTCGATCGCGCAGGAGACCGTCGAGTCGCCTTCTTTGCTCCTGGCCTGACCGTCGTGGGATTCGCCTAGCCGCCGTCGCAGAATAAAAAACACGCTGCGTGCCCGCCGTCGAGCACACAGGGAAGCCGCAGAAATCGCTCCGCTCAAAGTACGGAGGCGTCTGGGCAGGGATAGATTCCAAGCAGACCAGTGGCCTGCGCTGCCACGAATCTCGTGAGAACAGAGGTTTGGGGCAAATGTTTTAGGTGAACTGCTGCAGTGCTGCCTAGCCCATGTCCATCGTTGCATGTATCTTGTAATGGTGCAGTGCCGTCATCCATGCCAGGACCCTCTAAGGGTGTCTATTGATAGCCCCTTAGAGGTTAAGGGGTGTCCATTAACCATCCCTTGTGGGTCCTGGTATCTAATGACTATACAGTAAAGCTTAGAGTCCGTTGGCCCCCCAAAGATCAAGTCAAATCGAACCACGACGATTCGCTGTCCAAACATTCCGATGGAGACTCATAATAAAGCTTTCTAGCAACTTCTTCAGCTTCCTTGGGCATCGCTCACTGGGAATGGGTTTCACCTGTAGTAACTAAGAAGCTATTACGGTGGAGGCCATCGCTACCGCCACCAGCCGACATCATCGATCCATCGAGGGATCCATCGACCCAAACGGACGAACCGGAGCCGACGTCCCAAGAGGTGTCGAACGCTGAGCCGCGCGTGTCGGTACCACGTGTCGGTACCTGGGAGATGAAAAAGACCATGTTTTTTTACATACCAGTTTACATTTGTTCTACCATGTTTCTTTGGCAAAAAAAAAACAGGTGTTTGATGGGCCATGTGAGATGAGGCTGGTCTCACCGGAACTGAACGAACTGAACGAAGCGTCGGGAAAACGGCCGGGATCGCTGGCGATCCCGGCCTTCTGTTTTTTTGGGGGCCAACGCTGGTCATTCCCGGTGTGTGGTTTTTTGGGGGGTCAAATAGAGAGCAACAAATCAGGCAAAAAGGATAATGCGTTTGTTCACCATGTTTTGCAATAGACCGTTTGATTGCAATGATTGTTTTATATTGAATTTCGCTCTATCGCCGCCATCAACAAATGAATCGAGAAAAAGACACACGAGAATTGCATTATGACCACATGCGGAGTCTGCGAGGGTACCCAGCTTTTCTCCCTGCTTGGAAGCCACTCAAAGTTACTTTGTGGGGCAGTGTTCTGGTAAGCAA